AAGGCACTGGGAAGCCAGTGGCAGTCAGTGGCTACTGGGCTGCTATGTGTAGCAAAAGGTTTGTGGCCCCTTAAAGAATAACCCGTTTCTTTTGGTGTGTACCTTCACTGGTCACAGTACCCTTTGTCAGCCGTACAGTATATCCAGGGTATTCACATTTTAGTGTTTCTGAATCCCATTTTCTGCAAAATATCACCATTCTTCATAGAATACTTTCTCTTTTTTTGGCACAACATGAAATTTTTTTGGTGCAAAATTCAATTTTTCAGCAATTTTAAAAAAGCCCCCCCCCAATGAAAAACAAGTAACGCTCTTCTAATTTTTCCCAGTCTGGGGAATTCTGGGGGGACATGTTGCATCCGAAAAAGGTAAAGGTTCCCCTTGACATTTAGTCCAATCATTTCTGACTCTAGGGGGCGGTGCTCATTCCCGTTTCTAAGCCATAGACTCACCGTTTGTCCGTAGACAATCTTCCGTGGTCACATGGCCAGTGCGACTTAGACACAGAACACTGTTACCTTCCCACCAAAGTGGTCCTATTTATCTACTTGCATTTGCATGCTTTCGAACCGCTAGGTTGGCGGGAGCTGGGACAAGCGACGGGCGCTCACTCCGTTGCGTGGATTCGATCTTACGACTGCTTGGTCTTCTGACCCTGCAGCATAGAGGCTTCTGCGGTTTAGCCTGCAGCGCCACCACGTCCCTATGTTGCATCCTACCTTACAATAAACAAATGAGAAAAATATATATATATCTGCACCTCTTTGTTCTAAGAACTGATCATAGCTGAGCTACACCCTGAGCACTGTTATATGTAGCTCAGTGGGCTTGGTATCTGGCTGCGGAGGTTGAGTGTTCGAATCCCCGCCGTGCCTCCTTGACAGCAGCTATCCGTGATCCATAAGGTCCCTTCCGGCCCTGCAGTTCTAAGATTATTATAAGGACAAAAGGAGGAAGAAAAATTTGTCCAAGCAACGGTATTTAGTCCAACCTCGGCTGCCATCAGGCGTACACACCCTCAGCAGACTCATCGTGTGTCATATTATGGATTGCTTTTGGATTATTATGAATGTTTCTCTTGACAACAATAACAGTGATTTTTGCCCCTCTTATTCATCTTGGAGGTTAGAAATCCTCTTGGTTGCTCTGCCTTTGTATACAACATTTGTCAACACTGATGCTATGCTGTATTCATGTGAATCCTACATTTTCTAGCCAAGAAATTCCACCTCTTTTATATTCCCATTTATTTTGCCTTGAATGATCAGCTGTATCAATCAGCACTTTTCACGTATCATTCCATGACCAAAGCATTCCAGTTTACTTCATTTTATGTGTTATGATTTCTTGGTATTCATTCACTGATCTTAATATTTCTCCACTGTTCACCATCTCATTCCAAATAATTGTGAACATCCTGTGATATAGTCACATCTCAAACACAACTGTCTTTTCACCAGTTTTCTATTCAACATCATGTAATAAAGCAAGAACATGTAACACTAGAGATGGACATGAACTGCGGATTCGGGTGATTCATGCCCATTTGTTTATTGGCCAAACAAGTGTTCGTCACTCTGAAGCCCCACCCCCTTCAGTGGGCGCCCATTCAGATACAGATCCCAGAGGAAGCAGGGCAGGGAAGCCAGGATGCTACTTCTCAGTGGGCGCCCACCAGAGGAGAGCTGTTAACCTCCAGACACCTATTTGGTTGATAAGCAATCCAGCACGAACCCGGTTCGTGCCCAACTCTACATAGCGCCATAACACGTACAGTGCAAAGCCAATTTTATCTTTTTGTTTTATGTTCCATAATTCATCTTAAGGAAAGTGCTCTAGGCCAAATCCATTCTGACTTCTATGATACAGCTACAATTCTATTTATTCAACCAAATTCTAAGATTGGTCACACTCCATGCTTTCCTTTGGCATTCTTCAATGGCATTAAAAGATAATTTAATGGATCAGCATCTATTTATTATTCTACATAACTGATAGCAATGTATCATATATGGCAGTTTATGTATTTTATAAAAACTTAACATTACCCCAGTCTATAAGTTAGTGTTGTATGGCTTTGGTCACTATACTAGTTACATTTAAAATTACAGTGGTGCCTCGCTAGACAGTTACCCCCCATGACAGTTTTTTCGCTAGACACTGACTTTTTGCGATCGCTATAGCGATTCGCAAAACAGTGATTCCTATGGGGGAATTTTGCTGGACAATGTTTGGTCCCTGCTTCGCAAACCAATTTTCGCTAGACGACGCTTTGGACAGCTTCCTCCGCGCTCGCAAAACAGGTGTTTTTGGGACCTAAGCTTCGCAAGACAGCGATTTAAACAGCTGATCGGCGGTTCACAAAGCGGCTTTCCTATGGCCGATCTTCGCTAGACAACGACGATTCTTCCCGATTGGAACGCATTAAACTGGTTTCAATGCATTCCAATGGGGAAATGCTTTTCGCTAGACAATGATTTCACTAAACAGCGATTTCAGTGGAACGGATTATCATCATCTAGCGAGGCACCACTGTAAATTGGAAAAGGAGGCTGGTATTATTAGCCCCATTTTGCAGATGGAAGACTAAAGAAAGATTGACTGATCGTGGATTTGCCTAGAGATTTCTTGGCTAAGGTATGATTTGAATCAGGAATGTCCTCAGTCACTTTCTTATAGACCACCTGGTATCCATCATGATGTAGTGAACAGAGTGATGGACTAGGGCTCTGGAGCTCAGCGTTCGAATTCCCTCTTGGCCATGGAAACTCACGGGGGGAGTGAAATTCGTAAAGCCACTCCTCAAATAGCTTACTTACCTTGAAAGCCCTTCTAGGGTTGCTTTAAGTCAATTGAGACTTGAAGGCACCTAGTTGCTGACTAAGAGAACGCCTAAATTTATCTGAGTATCTCTTTGCCTCTAGTTGAAATTTTCTCCACTAAGCTATAACTGGCGGTGGAGCGGCGCACTGCGAAATCCAGAAACTTATCATGACATTTGCTGAGCCTCCAAGGCCCTGCCTTCAAATAGATTCCTGAACTGCTGTCCCCGTATCAAGAAACCCTTGAACAGCAGCTTAAATTTCTACCAGCACCAGGTCTTTTGTGAAGCTAATGGGTCTCAATGGTCCATTCAAGCTACTCTAAAGTATCTGGATTAAAACCAGGGTAGCTCACAGCAAGACCGTGGGGCAGGAAAAGCCACCTTGCCACCCCAATTACTGCGAGGTTTCCAGCTAAACTCAGAGAGAAATCTGAGGGGTGTGTGTGATAGATACCCCATCCCTGTGGATAAGAGAGTTGTGGCATATTAGTCCATTGAACTTTTTCTCCACCGTATTAGACTCTAGAAAATCAGGGTTCCTTCTGCATGAGGAAAAGGTTTCTGGGGGAGTCGGGTATTCCTCCGATCCATGGTGAGTCCCTCAGGATGAACAGTGGCTGCACAGTCCTTGTGTGGGCAGAAGATTTCAGAGGAAACAGGCACACCTCAGACGTCCTGCTCACCCACTTCTTATCTTCTGCTATGCACCCTCTTGAACATCTTTTCCTCTCTCTCTTTCTATACATCAGGTGTGGGCAAGGTGTGGCCCTCAGGACGTTGTCAGACTACCAGTTCTAGCGTTCCTCCCCATGGCTATGCTTACTAGGAGTGATGGGCGCTGTAGTCTTTCGGCACCTGGAAAGCCCCCGTTTTACTCCCCTCCCCTGCTGTTTACAGTTCCCTTCTCCTGTTCAAAGAAAGAACGTTTCAACGATGACCTAAAATCCGGTCTTTCGACACCGAGTTAGACACGCCAAACAAAAGTATGGAAACATGAGGCAAAACAGCACCTTCGGGTGCCGTTCCATCTAAGGAATGGAGATTTCCAATAAGAAACTAGTACAGGCAGGGATGGCTTAAAACTGAAAGTTTAAGTTTAAAATTAACTGAGCAGTGTTCGGTGGATCTTTTTTTTGTTGTTGTTAGAGGAGCAACCCTACTGCTTTATAAAGTTTGGCCCTTACAAGGGAATACATTCCATTGAATACAATAGGACTGGCTTCTATTGTTAAGTAAGCATAAGATGGCACTGTTTATTTTTTCTCTTAGTTTATGAACTCTCTCCCTCTCTGGTTCACTCTCTCTCTCTCTCTGAAGGGAAGGTCTGAAGAGGTGCCCGGCTCCAAGCATTCTAAAATGACTTTCGCCGGATCATGCCGAAAGAAAGAGCGAGGAGACAATCCGCTCCCCCAAACAGTGTAGTGACTCCTTGTCTAACCGGTGTCATCAAACCTGCCACTCTTTTCGAGTTTCAAGCCTCCAACCCCACCTGGCACCGAAGTGACTCAAACCACTTAAACAGAAGCTTGTGTAGGGAAGCCCAGCTCTCTCTTATAACGTACACGAGACACACACGTTCACAGCTTTTGCCACAACTCACTCCCCACTCCCTTGCAAACTGAGCAAAAATCTACCAGCCAGGTGGTTTTGATTTGCTCTTTGGCAACCCGGTCGCCCGACTGCTGCCAGGCGGATGTAAAACCCAACAACAACCGGACTCCGTTTGTGTCGAAGAAAATGCCTCTCTGGAACGTGATCCCCTTGAAATAATCAATCTGTCATTATTATTAACTGAGCTGAACACACTTCGGTCAAGTTTACTGTACCAAAAAGCACCAATGAAGAATGAATCTTGCATTATCCTTGCCAGGCTGGTTATAGTTCTTAACAATAAATCAGTGTTTCCAGTTTTTGTTAAAAAGAGAGAGAGAGAGAGAGAAAGAGAGAGAGAGAGAGAGAGAGAGAACTGGGATCTGTCTGTCTGTCTGTCTATCTATCTGTCTGTCTGTCTTCTGAATCTTTCCTTACTTTGCCAGGAAGAAGAAGAAAGACCTGTCTGTCTGTCTGTCTATCTCTCTATCTGTCTGTTCTGAATCTTTCCTTTGCCAGGAAGAAGAAGAAAGAGAAGAGAAGAAGCAGAAGTAGCAAGTAGCTATTGCTCTTAAGTTCTGCTCACCAGTTCAGAAACTTCCTTGGCCTTGACCAGGTCTTGCTAGCGTCACCCAGTGAAAAGCAGGGGGCTTTCTCCCTGAAGGCAGGACCCGGTAGCTGTCAGGTTTATGCCATGAAACTTTTTCTCTCTCTCTCTCTTGCATAGGGCAGCACGCAAGCAGTCCAGCTCATGGCACCCTAAAGAGCTGCCTTATTTTTGTGTGACTAATAAGGGTGGGGCTAAGTCCTAAGGCTTGTGAAAGGGGAAAGGAATCCTTTTTTGAGCAGTGAAGGCGGTGTGTTTGTGTGTGTGTGTGTGTGCATGTGCGTGCGTGTACGGAGCAGAGTTTAGGTTTTGCTCAGCCAGTTTTTACAGCTGATTTGGTGTCCAAAAGGTGCCTGGAGCCTCTGCACCAGAGTTTCAGCCCTCAAAAAGCTGGCATAGCAAAGAATCGATTTCTTCCCATCATACCATAAGGGATACCTCCTTTCTTTTTTTGAAGTTAACCTGTGTTCAACCAGGGTTCAAGAAAGCTGCATTTTAGACACTAAACTCAAGAACCTCCCCCACCTGCAGAACCGTGTGCTGGGCATATCTGAAAATTGTAGTTTAACAATGTAACTTTTCCAAGCTTTGGAGCTGGTCCAGTAGCAGGGATCCTGGCAAGTCTTTGAGTCTCAGTCCCAAGTCCCAAGTCTTTGGAATCAAGTCCCAAATCCCACGCCCCAAGTCTGAGTCCCTATTAAAAACAAGCTTTTTCCCTCCAGAAAAAAAAAAGGAGAGAGTGGTTGGGTTCTGAGTCGCACATCAAGCTGGAGTCATTGGGAAAAGCAAAACAAAATGGAGTTGAGTCTGAATCAAGGTACTAGTGCAACATCAGTCCAACTGAACAGCGAGTCCGGTGACTCGAGTACCCACATTTTTCCAGTCGCGAGGTCAGAAAGTCTTCTGATCAAGGCTGACCTCTGTTGTTAAATTTGATAGGTTGAAATTGAATAGGCACCATCGTTTCCTCCAATTTTCAGCCCTGCTAAGTGGGGCTCAGCCCCTCATGTCCGCGACTCTGTACCCCCATAATTCCTACCCTGACCGGAGTTCTGCAGCGACAACCCCAAAGGGGCTGGAAACAGTCGCTCTGAATGTGCAGAGGAGAAGGAACTCTGTCCAGAGGGGGGCGCTGTGCAGCTTAGAGGGAATCTTGGGTAGCAGCGATGGTGGCTTGGAGGCAGAATGAAGTTTGGCAAGAAAATCTATTGCAATAGAGCTGGCAATATTTCCTTTTAAGGATCAACCTCCGGGAACGGCCACAATGGATGGGGAGGGTGGCCGTTCCCAAGGCTCGATTTCCTGAGCGGTGTGCTCTTAGGAGAACTCACAGTTGGCAGTTTGGAAACCATGATGGAGAAGGAAGGCATGATTCTCGCTGCCTCCTTTCTCTTCCCTGTTTATTGGCAAAGCCATATATCATCAGCGTACGTGACACTTGGCTGACAATCAGAAGGAACCACGTCTCTGCCCCAAGAAGCTTACACAACTTCATTCCGCAATAAAGAGAGAGAGAACTGGTAAATGTAGGAGGCAAGGATATCCATGAACAGATAGAACCTACATGAAAGAAGAGTACGGATAACCTCAAACGTTGTTTGCTCTGTTTTGATATTTTTATTGGTCACTCCTGGATGTCTTCCATCAACTAACCAACTGGAGTGGGTGGTACATATATGCACTTAGTGCAAGTTACTGAATGCTGGCTAATTGTTCTTGCTTAAAGTGGATGCAGGTAAACAAATCACAGATCTTTGATTCATGGGGTGTTTACTGTGACCTACAAACCCAGGCCTTTTCCTCTGGCTTGTTTCTTGCCTGACAAGGCAGAACCCATGTATTGGATTGGATTGGCTTTCTTTTGAGACAAGCCAGAACTTCTTCCCATGGCTTAGATAAAACTTTTTTGTTTTGAAAGACAGCTTTCCAAATTCTCCCACCAGGGTGGTTATCGGCAAGGGATCTGAGAGCTATGTGGCCTAAATCTAGCTCCCCCCCCTCAAGTTTTGATCCTGCAAGGTGTTTACATGTTAATACATAAGCTGGGATCATGGTTGTGCTGTTCTACTACCCTTTATGTAGTTGTTTCTGTTACAAGCTGTAGAAACCTGGACCGTACACCAACATGTTGCTTCTGGATGAGAAACCAGGCTCTTGGAGGAAACCCTGGCTTGCTGTGACATTCAAAGTAGACCTTAGATTCAATTTAGGGAGGCAACCTTCGGAGGTAAGTCTGAAATTAGCCAATTATTTCCAGTGGGGAAGGCAGAGGAAAAGTTGCTACCGTTGTTCTCTCGCCCTGAAAACTCCTTTGCATCCATTGGCAGCGAAACAGGCTTCAGTTCAACAGGTCAGAAGCATTCAACAGGGAAAAAGCTTTGCCTGTTGAATGTTTGTCTGTTGTGGTTCTGGTTGAGGACATAGCAATAAACACAAATGGGAAGGGGAAGAACAACACAACAAGGTACTTAAATTGGAATTGTGTTTTTGTGCACCTGGCCAAACTGCTCCTATTCTCCGTACATGTGACGTGTCATTAGTTCAGACCTTTGGTAAGTTACTTTCGTGAACTATAATACTCCAGTATTGATAGAGGCTAGGTTAGTTGCGAAACGCTAGGAGTTGCAGCGACAAAAAGCCGCATTTCCAAATTTTAAAGCAGAAAGCCTGCAACTAGTTTGTGCTCTGTGCTGCTTCTGTGGGATTGGGACTGGTGGTGGCCATATTCAAGCATTAAAGACTTCCTTCCGCTGTCCTGAGGCTCCCAAAGCTTTCCCCAGGTTGAAAGAGATCTCTAAAGAGCCTCAGAATCTGTGGAAAGAGTAGAGGGTGTTGGGAGATGGGAAACCTTAAATTAAATATTAAAGTCTGTGGCTGATGACACCACCAGCCTTTACCCATGCAGAGTTACTCCTCAACAGTCTGGCCAATGAAAGAAAACTTCCTCCTCCTTCCCCACTGCTCGTCCTAAAGGTTCTCTTGCTGCTTGAAGACCCAAGGATGCATAGTAGTCCCCTGGGATAAGAGACCAGAGTCCGAAACCTGGCAACCCTTGTAGTACAGTGCATCTTGGGAAATTAAAATGACAGCTTCATTGGAGTCTTGTGAAGACCAACCATTAAGTCCCAGTACATGGCAGTTCCTCAATCCTATGTCCTCCACACATTGACAGCAGCTGTAATGACATTGCAGCCTCACCCACCCCTACCTATAGCTTCTTCAGAGTAAAACACACCAACCAACCAAACATCAATCCAGGATGCTGGGTCATGGATTTCCGGCACTATATCTGGTTTGCTTTTCTTGCATATTTGCTTCCTCTAAGGTTCCTGTTGGACTCTCCTGTTGGGTAAAATAATAATAATAATCGGCCCGGCTGGGAGAGGTTGACTTTCAGGCCGCTTTCCACCCAGAAAGGGTACTCCTCCCGCCTACAGTTGGTTTGGGGTTTTTGATTCACCTTCTGCAATTCAGCGGAGGGGTGGAGGAACACAAGTCAGTTGGTTTCAGATTACAACACCCAACAACCCAACCCAGGATGGTCAATGAACTGTAACCCCAAACATCTGTAGGCAAATCGCTCCTCACCCATCTAGAATAAAGAGCTTTTGAGAGTATATTTGAGCACGGGCAGAGCAGAAGAATCCTTGGTCAAGATGGCTAAGGGCCAGCTGAGCTGACAGTAGGCCAGCTGAAGTTCAGCTGAATCCAGTATCTTTCTCTCCCGAGATGCTGGAATTTACTTAGAACTACTCTGGCTAGGGAGTGGCCTTTTTTCAGACTACAAACACCATCATTCTCCATTCGGGGAGTTCTACCCACCCCATTGGCACCTGACAAACATCTCAATGTGAGAAAGGTTGAAATTAGGAGGCTTTGAGGCTTAGCTAGGCCAAGCTCTGCTTTCTTCTCAGCAAGAAAACTCCCAGCTTGCACTGGGGCACAAACAGGAAGCTTGGGTGCAACTAGGCCTAGCTCAGTCTCCAAGCCTTCCAGTTTAGGCCCAGGTGAGCCAAACTGAGGTGTTTGCAAGGTGTCTGGAAGGTAAGAAGAACTCTCAGAATGGAGAATTAAGATATTTATAGCCCAGAAAATCTGAAAGTGCCATCCCTAATCTTGGCCCAAGTTAGTGGTGAAGAGACGTCACCTTGCCAACAAAAGTCTGCATGGTCAATGCTATCGTTTTTCCTGTAGTGCTGTATGGAAGTGAGAGCTGGACCATCAAGATAGCTGACCACTGAAGAATTGATGCTTTTGAATTGTGGTGCTGGAGGAGGCTCTTGAGAGTCCCCTGGACTGCAAGGAGAACAAACCTATCCATTCTGAAGGAAATCAACCCTGAGTGCTCACTGGAAGGACAGATCCTGAAACTGAAGATCCAATACTTTGGCCATCTCCTGAGAAGAGAAGACTCCCTGGAGAAGACACTGATATTGGGAAAGAGTGAAGGCAGGAAGAGAAGGGGATGACAGAGGATGAGACGGTTGGACAGGGTCATCAAAGCAACCAACATGAATTTAACCCAACTCTGGGAGGCTGTGGAAGACAGGAGGGCCTGGCGTGCTCTGGTCCATGGGGTCACGAGGAGTCGGACATGACTTAATGACTAAAAAACAAAGTGCAAGATTTGAATCTGGCAGGACTTGGCTTTGCTCCCAGTCTGCCTCATTTTTGATTGTTCTGATGGCAGATCTTCATGGGGGAGAAGAGTACCACTGGCAGGTACCTCTGGCAGCAGGACTCTACAATCATCAGCAGAAGCGGCTTCTGCCAGTACAAGGCCAATCGAATGCCCAGGTTTCAGCAGTGGCCAAGACTACTTTCACACAGTTAAAACTGTGTGAAAGTACTCTTGGTCCATTCCTTGAGATGTTCTTGGCAGTGGTTCCCAACCTTGGGTCCCCAGATGTTCTTGGACTGCAACTCCCAGAAATCCTGGCCAGCAGAGGTGGTGGTTGTGTTGGCTACGAGAGTCACACAGTCATTCCCTAAGCCTTCCATGCCATTGTGTGGGAAGCCAAATTCCAAATTTGCTGATTCTTAAGGCAAGGAAAACAGCAGAACTCTGTGCCCTAGGACTTTTCAGCTTTCATAATTCTGAAGCATGGCTGAATGGGAAGAATTATTTGCTTGAATGGAAAGAATGATGTTTTCTTA